TAGTTTTATGTTAGTTTACAGGTGATGTGCATCAACACAGCTTGTGAAAATCTCAAAGCATCTCCTGAAGCTGCTGGGGAAACTGCAGATATTTTCAAGTGATGTAAACTAAATCAGAGTTGGTCGGAGTGACGACTTTAGTTTTAAAATAAAATCCATGGAGCATGTGGTTTTGGAAATAAGCAGCCACTGTACCCTTTTTGATTTCTGTTTAAAGCCAGAGGTTACATCAGCTGCTGCCAGCATAACGCATTAAACTCTCAGAAAGAGGGGACCGTATCTGAGTTTCACTGTGTAGGGCGAGGAAAACGTGTAGAATCAAAAGGTTTCTTTCTGCTGAATTGATTTAGATATTTTTTCTCCTAAACTGCTCACCGCTACGCAGCTCATTCCAGCTGTGATAGAAACACTGTTATAATCACATGATTATTCCATTAAAATCTCATGGCCAAACTGACTAAAGAAGTGATGTTTGAGTTTCTAAATGTATTGAATGGACTGAGAGATATGTTGTAAAACAAGAAGATAATCAGAAGAATCTCTGACTCCTTGTGTGGCAACACTGCTGTATATCATACTTCATAGTTTGTAGTTTCTCCATTTGACCTACCGGAGTGTATGAGCATGTGCTGTTTCAGGTTTTGTATACGCGTGAATCTGACTCCACAGGTCGGACACTGAAAGGGACGATCAGGGCCATTGGTGCCAGGTCGAGCTGATGGGCTTATATAGAGGTGGTAAGGATATTGAATACCTTCCAGCCTGAAACACAGAGAACCAAAGAATTGAAGTTATGATCACTTTTATATGGACACATCAACCTGTGAATGATTGCTCAAAACAGCCATTTTAATTTGTTAATAAGGTTCTAAAGGTTCTTCCTTAGGCCATGTTTACACAAAAAAGATCTCTGAAAATATTATTTTTTATGTTTACTGTGGACAGCATGGTGGCACAACTGGTAGAGCTCCTGCCTCTCAGCGAGAAGGTTGCCAGTTCAAATCCTGGTCCCGGGGCCTTTCTGGGTTGAGTTTGCATGTTCTCTCCGTGCATGTGTGGGTTTTCTCCGGGTACTCCGGTTTTTTCCCACAGACCAGAAACATGCATGTTAAGCTGATTGGTAACTCTAAAAATTGGTGCGAGTGAGAGAGTGAATGGTTGTTTGTCTCGTTTGTCTCTATGTGGCCCTGTGATGGACTTGCGACCCGTCCAGGGTGTGTCCGGCCCTCGCACCGTGATTGCTGGACATGGGCACCGGCGACCCCCGTGACCCAAAATTGAAGAAGCTGGTAAAAAATAATGGATGGATGGATGTTTACTGTGGCAAATCAACACAAAAAAAACCTCAAAAACAAAACTGATCTGCTATAGTTTCTATGCCAGGCAGGTTGCCAGACAGGAAATGATACTGAAATTAACTACTATACTTTCACTTTAAAATTATTGTATTTTGACCCAAACCATCAAATGTGTTGAAAGAGGTGTGCTTTCTCAGAGGGTGAGGCGGTACGATAAGGTGTGTGTAGTGATTGGTGAACACGTGAAAAGAAAAGGAAGGGGTTCAAAAAGTGTAACTATTGTATATCTGGTAATAGTGAGGTCAGGCCTTCAATGAGACACACATGAAGTCTCGAGCATTAAAACACTTATATCCAAAATGGTTAATACAAGAATGTTTGTTTGGTCCGAGGATGAGGACAAAATAGATGATTGTGGACTTCAGAGGGAACAGGGACACCTGCGCCCCCCTGGGCATGGGAGGATCTGCGGTGGAGGTGGTCTCCAGCTGCAGGTGCTTGGGTGTGCACATGGATGACGGCCTCGGCTGGGGCGGCGGCACCACCAGCCTGGTCAAGAGGGCTCATCGGAGACTCTGCTTCCTCGGACGGCTGGGGCGGGCTGGTCTGGGAGGCTCAGTCCTCGCCTCCTTCTGCAGGTGTGCAGTGGAGAGCATCCTGTGCTCGAGCATCGGTGTGTGGCGTGGAGGCTGCACAGCTGCAGAGGGAAGAGCTTTGCAGAGAGTGGTGAAGGCTGCACAGAGGTCTGTTGGAATCGGTCTCCCCACCGTCACGGACATCTGCACCTCCGGATGCAGGAGGAGGGCCACCTGCATCATGGGGGACCCCACCCGCCCAGCACACGCGCTTTTTGCCCCGCTCCCCTCGGGAAGGAGGTTAGGGAGCGTTGAGTGTGGAACCACTGGACTGAGGAACAGCTTCTACCCTGAGGCTGTTGGACTCATGAATCTCTGACTAGAGTGATCACTGTGAAAAACCATATCGTGTTGCTGCTGATCTGTTTCAGTGTTGATGTGTTCATGCGTGCACATCTGCTCGCGGACTCATGTTCATGTTTGTGCTGATGTTCAATGTTTTATGTTATGAGTGCTTGGTGTATGTTTGGTTGATGTTTTTCTTGGTTCGTATCTTGGATGTTATTACTGTTTTTCTTAGACATTTTATTGTTGGATGTAACTGGGACCCCGTGTACATAATTTCGCTCCACCACATGTACCACATGAGGTGCGAATGACAATAAAGAAACTCTGACTCTGACTCTGAGGTTGGGTTGCTCCATCATGATGAAAAAGGTGAGCAAGACAAACAAACTTTGCTATATACTATCCTGATACATGCTCAATAATCCAGGTAGAAAAATCCAAAAAAGTTCAATCTGGTCCTCTGGACATTCAAAAAACAAGAAAACAAAAAAACAAAAAACAAAGCAAAAAAAAATGTAGAAACGTTTCGTCTCTCATCCAAGAGACTTCCTCAGTCTGAGGTGCTGTATTCAGCTCAGTCTCTTAAATAGCACCTTCTCAGAGTGGATCAAC